TGACCTCTTCCGAGGCAGCAGGGACAGACGCAGCCAAAAGGTCCTGATGCTACTTCCACACCGAGGACAAGGCTTCATGGAGGTGGGGAGAGGGGACTCGGGGTCACCGAGAGCACAGTTCCACCAGCACCCAGAGACTTAAGCCTGAAAGAGGAAGGAGCCCCCGCGCCTGGGAGGGCTGGAGGTGACAGAGGACAAAAAGCTGGCCTGTCTGGTCTTCTGGGAAACGGAGCCGCACCGTGTGGAGTTCAGGAGGGAGCACGCTGCAGCCGGTGGCAGCCCTGGAGCCGGGGGTCTTCCTGGAGGAGAGGTCAGGCCGGCTCTGAGTCCCTTCACCCAGGCCAACGTGCCCCGCGCTCTCTGTTTTATAATACCCCGAGATGAAGAGACCAAGGAGAGGGGAGAGGGGGGGTGAGTGCATCGCGCCAACACATCTCAGCCCTGACTGCACACATGATCACAGTGCTTTAAAAAAGCAGCTGGAGTGCTCTCCACACACTCACCTGGAAAACCCAGGTATGCGGGACTTTGTGCCTGAGAACTCTGGGTTCAAAGGGAGCAGGACTGGAGATCCACGACCCAGGTCCCTACCTCCAGCAACTCAGCAGTCCCGCCCAGGAGCCGCCTCTGGCTGGCCCTCGGCCACCCTCCAGACTGCATGTCCTTCTCTCCTGGAAGGGAGCATGACATGACACTCGCCATAACCATGCTGCCGGACCCCACGCCAGGCTGTCCCACGGAGCCCCAGCAGCCGTTTAAACCCTCCAGAACTCAACCGCCACCATGCTCGGGCCGAGCCTCACCCACGAGTGAACCTATTTCTGGACATCTCATGCCTCACCCCACCCCTACTCCAAGAGTATACCACACCGCATGTGATGAAGTTCAAAGTAGGAGACAACCAATTTGAGAGGGAAATTTTTTTTAACAGAGATAAATACAAAAGCACACAAAGCTCAAACTTTGACATGATAGTGATCTCTCGTAGGAGAGCTTAATGGCCCCCAGGTGAAATACAACAATCTTCACCCTCTTTCCTCTAAAGGATACTGTTTTGTGCCATTCTCAGCAGTTTTTTAGGACGAACAATACAAAATGTATTATTTCGGTTCTGCTTTGGGGCAGGGATTGGGGTGAGGGATGGAAACACCCAGAAATACGGTGGTGGGAAGGGGTCATGGTGGTGATCTTGGTCCCAAAATATGGTGGTGGGAAGGGGTCATGGTGGTGGTCTTGGTGGTGGAATATTAAATGTAACTAAATCTCGTGAACTACTTTATAAAAATTAAAAAATGAAAAAAGCAGCCGGAGAGCAGGCAAAACTACCCGTGCCTCGTCCCAAACCTGCATTTCCTGGGGATGCTGGCCTTCGGTCATTAAGAAACTCCTTGGGGGCTTCGCATACACAGCCGAGGCCAAGCTGAAGCAGGCAGCTCTAAGGGTCGTGAGCCTCCTTGGTGCACACAGGGCCATGCTGCTCACCCGTGACCTGACTCTTGGCGAGGCAGGAGTCCGGCGTCCACCTCAACCCAAGCCCGGTGACACAGAGAGCCGAAATGAAAGCAATGCTCGAGACACAGCTGCTAGGGCAGGAACAAGGACGAGGTCCGTCGGCCTGCTCAGCCTCTCCGGCCACCACCTGAACGCATTCCACCTTCCTCTCGGGGCTCCGCCGCCAGCACACCCAGTCCGGTCAAGTGTGACGGATGAACTGAACGGGAGTTACTTAGAGGAGGGCAGGGAACTGAGCTCCAAGTCTACGGCAGTTTCCTTTCAAAATCACAGCACCCCTTCCCCTAGGCTCTGCAGGGGGGTTCTGGGGAGGGTTTTACACTGGGAAGCCACGAGAATAGGGCTGAGAAGCGCAAGGCTTGGTATAAAGCGGTTTCTCAGAGATGACACAGTAACAAGTCTCATGATGGAGACGTTACTGGGCCCGCTCGAGCAAATCGATGAACAACGGGAGGACCGTGGATCTGATCACAACAAAAGCGAGCTCTCCACTCCGGCATCCTACAAAAGCCACTAAGACCATCCTGACAAAACAAGGGAGACCGAAAACGAACACACCTGACCGGCCTCCAGATTCTTCAAGCGTCAATCCAACTTCCATCCAGTGCAAATAAATGCAAGTCACGCCTCAACACTGCACCATCCTTTCACTGACCCACACTGGTGCTGGGACTGTGCGCCAGGCTCTCATCCACTCGGAAATCTCACGAACATTCAAGTTCTGGATCCCCGGCCCAAACTCACCAAGCTATTAGGTTCTACAAGTAAAAAAGGGGACAGTGGGGCTGGAGCGACAGCACAGCGGGGAGGGCGTTTGCCTTGCACGCAGCCAACATGACCGACACAGGTTCGATTCCCAGAACCCCATATGGTCCCCCGAGCACTGCCAGGAGGGATTCCTGAGTGCATGAGCCAGGAGTAGCCCCTGAGCACCGCCGGGTGTGACCCAAAAAGCCAAAAAAAATAAATAAGTAAAAAAAAAGGGGGACAGTGAGGGTTACAGAAGATTTTTATTCCTCTGCACGAGGACCCCTCCACTCCATATAAAATGAAGGAAATACAGTTACGAAAAGCAAGTGGGTATTCACCCAGGCAGACCCTTGGAGGCTCTGCTACGCCCTGGGGGACACCACGCTGAAGCCTTTGGTGGCAGACTCCAAGGCCACCTCTGCCACCAAAGCAGTGCCAGCTCCGGGCACTGTTCGCTCAGAGAGAGGCAAACTTCTTGGGGACAGAGAGAGGGTGGAGGAAGGAGAACCAGGCAGATAAACTTCCAAAAGTACGGGTTGGAGCATTTTCCACTTTTTGGGGGGGGGATGGAGAGCCATGCAGCATTGGGGAGCAAACGAGGCCGACAGTTCTGGAGCTGCTCTGCTCGCCTGGAGAGAGAATTTTTGAAAGGGAAAACTTGACTCGGTACCTTTCACAGTGAGCTCTGGGGCTGGAGTGGAAACATACGGGGTTGGGTGGGCGCCTGCCTTGCACAAGTGGACCAGGTTCGATCCCCCAACCACCACCAGGAGTGATCCCTGAGCATACGCCCTGAGCACCACCACCCTCCCCCCCAAAACAAATTTTTTTTCTTCAATTTAAAAACTTCCAACGTGGGCTGGAGAGATAGCACAGCAGGTAGGGCGTTTGCCTTGCACGCGGCCGACCCGGGTTCGATTCCCAGCATCCCATATGGTCCCCTGAGCACCGCCAGGAGTAACTCCTGAGTGCAGAGCCAGGAGTAACCCCTGTGCATGGCCAGGTGTGACCCAAAAAGCAAAAGAAAAAAAAAAAGAATAAAAACTTCCAACGAACTCTCTAGGCAGTCAGTACTTGCAAGGAGAGGCTGAATTAAAACGGGAATGAGCAGAGCCCAGGAACCAGGCAGACCAGAGACTGCTCCCAGGGGAAGCCGAGGAGGCTTGGGGTGCAGGATTCCATGAAGTTAATGAGTCACCAGGGGAGGCTTCAGCCAGAAACACAAACCTGCACCGTGGCACTTACTTGCCAAGAAAGTAAAACAGAAAGGGTCACGTCTCAACGAAGGTCTTTCTTTTGGGGGTGGGCTGGGGAGTGGCTGGGGGTGGTGGGGAGGAGGCACCTGGCCGGTGGTGCTCAGGGACCACTCCTGGGGGTCTCAGGGGGCCGCCACACCATACACCAAACACGTGCAGGCAAACGCCCTGCCCGCCTTGCTACTTACTATCCAACCTGTTCCTTTTTTTTTTAACCCTATACCAGTTGGAGTTTTTTATTTTACTGAAGCTTCTGTTTTAACTCTTAAAGGGGAAAAAAAAGCAGGAGCTGGAGCCAGGAGAGAACCTGGGGAGGGCGCTGACCAGACGGGCCGTCCCCCCCCCCCCCAGCTCCACCAAGTGTGAACCCCGCCGGGGTGTGGCCAGAAAAACAAAATAGGGCAAAGCCGGGGGTGCTGGAGCAATGATAATGGCACAGCGGGGAGGGCATTTGCCTCGCAGGCAGCCGACCTGGGTTCGAATCCCAGCATCCCCCAGGGTCCCCCCCCAGCACCGCCAGGAGCTGATTCCTGAGTGCAGGGACCAGGAGCAACTCCTGTGCATCGCTGGGTGCGACCCCCAAAACAGCAAAGAAATAAATAAAGACGTAAATGAATAAAAAATAGAGCAGAGCCACAAGCACGCCCGTCGCTCCCAGCCCTGGCCCAGCCCTGGCCGCGAGCGCGGTTCGATTGATTGATCGATTGACTAATCGCGGCGATTCCAGGCGGTTTCCAAGAAGTAACTCAACACCTTCCCCCTCCCCCCTTACACACACACACACACACACACACACACACACACACACCCCAAGCAACCCTGGGGCGAACCGGGTTGGGCGGGGAGTTCAACACCGAGAGGTACACGCACACACACCCCCAAGCACACACACACACACACACACACACACACACACCCCCAAGCACACACACACGCCCCAAGGCGGGGAGTTCAACACAGAAAGGTACACACACACACCACACACACACCCAAGCGCACACACACACACACACACACACACACACCTAAGGCGGGGAGTTCAACACCGAGAGGGACACACATACACACACCCCCAAGCACACCCCCAAGGACACACACAGTCACACACACCCCCCAAGCACCCCCGGGGGTGCCGGGGCGGGGTGGGGGCGGGGCGGCCGGTCCGAAGGTGCCGAAGGACGAAACCCACCACAGCCGCCGACACGAAGTTTGCCGGACGCGCCGGGGGCCAGGCGGGGACCCCGGGGGCGCCGGGGCTGGAGGGGGCGACCCCGGCCCGGGGGGGGGGGCGCCGCCGCGCCCCGACCCCGGCCCCGGCCCCCGCGGCCTCCCGGGCGGCCCCGCCGCGACTCGCGACTCGCGGCCCCCAACATGGCGCCGCCGCCGCCCGCGACGCCCACGGACGCCCAGGACGCCCCGCGCGCCGCCCGCGCCCGCCGACCCCGGCGCCCCCGTCGGGCCCCGCGCGCCGCCGCCCCTTACCCCGCCGGGCGCCGCGTCCCGTCGCCGCACTCCCGGCCTCCCTCGGGGCGCGCGGCCCCGAGCGACGCGCCCGACGCCCGCCCGCCCGCCCGCCCGCAGGTGACTCCCGCCCCGGCCGCGCCCCTGCGCGCGCACGCCGCCTCCCCCGCCGGGCGCGCGCGCGGCGCGAGCCCCGCCCACGCCCCGCCCACGCGAGGAGGAGGCCACGCCCCCTCGCGCCGCCCGCTCCCAGCGCGCCACGGCCGCGCCCCCGCCGCCTCCCTCCCCTCGCCGGGCGCGCGCGCGCGGGCACGAGCCCCGCCTTCAGCCCGCCCACGCCCCGCCCGCGCGGAGGAGGAGGCCACGCCCCCTCGCGCCGGCCGCGCCCCCGCCGCCGCCTCCTACCCTCGCCGGGCACAAGCCCCGCCCACGCCCCGCCTACGGGGCGGGGCCAGCGCCGAGGCCTCGCCCCCTCGCGCCCGCCGCTCGCAGGTGGCGAGGGGTGCCCGTGCGGAGGGGCTGACCACGGCCTGATTGATGGGTCTCTCGCACCAACTCCGGAGCTCTTCTTTTTTTTTTCTTTCGGGGTCACACCCGGTGATGCTCAGGGGGGGTCCCCCTGGCTCTGCTCTCCGGACTCACTCCTGGCGGGGCTCGGTTGGGAGCGTGCAAGGCAAGCGCCCTCCCCGCTGTGCTATAGCTTTTTAGACGGCCCCTTGCGGGGGCGGGGGTTGTGCATTGGTGTCCGATGCCCACCCCAGCCAGGCTGCTCCTACGTGGGCCGTCCCGCAGCTCCTGCCTCCCTGGGGTGCCGCCCTCTCCCACATTCTGCACCTCCCGCTCTTCCCCCAGCGCGGGCCCAATCCGCCTCCACCTCCCTAAGAACGTGCACGAGGTGGGATGAAACCTGCCCAGCCCGTCCCGGCGCCTGCAGAGACCAGAGCAGAGCCGGCACGCACCCAGTGGGTGGGTGCTGCTGGGGTGGGGGCTGTCTGCTAGTCTTGGACCTTTGCGGGACCCTGAGCAGGTGTGACCCTTCCCCTTCCTTCCTGCTGCTTTGTAGGGCTGCAGCCCCCCTCCCCATTTCTGTTTCTAGATGATGCATCAACTCTTTTTTTTTTTTTGGTCACACCTGGGTTACTCCTGACTCTGCACTCAGAAATTACTCCTGGTGGTGCTCAGGGGACCATATGGGATGCTGGGAATCGAACCCAGGTTGACCACTTGCAAGGCAAACGCCCTACCCGCTGTGCTCCAGCCCCTCACCTCCCTTTTTTCAGATTAGTAGCACTGTAGTACTGTCCTCCTGTTGTTCATCGATTTTCGCAAGCGGGCCCAGTAACGTCTCCGTTGTGAGACGACTTGTTACTGTGTTTGGCATATTGAACACGTCAGGGGTAGCTTGCCAGGCTTTGCCGTGCGGGTGGGATACTCTCAGTATCTTGCCGGGCTCTCCAAGAGGGGTGGAGGATTCGAACCCAGGTCAGCCGGGCCAGCCGCATGCAAGGCAAACGCCCTACCGCTGTGCTGTATCACTCCAGCCCATTTTCAGATTAGTACAGAACAGAAAGGGCAAGAAGGAGTTTGCGGGAAGAGACTTCGCCTGCGTTTCTCGGGATGAGGACACATGTGCAGGGCCACCGCTGGCCTGAGGTTTGCGGTCCCACTAGGCAGGAGAGGGAGGGTCAGTTGGGATGGGATCAGGGGGGCCTCCCACATGCGAGTCGCGGGCCCCACTGTTCTGAGTTCTCTCTCAGCCCTTTCCCCTTGCAGGGGAAACCTGTAAGTTCCCTAGCTAAGAAATCTTGGCCTACTGGCCTTTGCTGTGAGGTCAAGTCGCGCCCCCTCCCCCTATCCCCCTCTCAGTGCTTAAAGGGCTGGGTGGGAAAAAAATGACAGACTTGAACTTCTCCAGAGTCGCTTTATAATGTAAGATTTGGGGGCTGAAGCGACAGTCCAGTGGCTAGGGCGTTTGCTTTGCACCTGGCAGAGAGATCTCGGCATTCCTTTTGGTCCTCCCCCGACCTCCATCCCAGAACCAGGAGTAATTCCTGAGTGCAGAGCCTCAGGAGTAAGCAAGCCTCGAGCATTGCCAGGTGTGGCCCAAAATACAAACAAAACATTTTTAAGTAAAATTAGAGATTGTGGGGCTGGAGCGATAGCACAGCGGGTAGGGCGTCTGCCTTGCACGCGGCCGACCCAGGTTCGATTCCCAGCATCCCATATGATCCCCCGAGCACCGCCAGGAGTGATGCCTGAGTGCATGAGTCAGGAGTAACCCCTGAGCATCGCCGGGTGTGACCCAAAAATGCAAAAAAAAAAATTAGAGATTGGAAATTTCTGTCTGACTGGTTGTCTGAATCAGCCTGGGGGTTAAGCCCCACACAGTGGTGATCACTGGTGCTTTAGTGAAACTCTTGCTCTCCTGCTCCTAGCATGCTTAGTTATTCACCCTAAGACACGATCAGATCAGATCTTAGCCACCTGAGGCGAATACACCTTGAGGTCAAATATAGCCTGAGTCCTTTCCCTTGTAAACTTGCTCATAATAAATGCATTTACCCTCTTGTGTTGTTACTGCACAAACTTTTTTCTTTTACAGTCGAGTGAGTCTGCAGCAAAAAAGGTGATAAGTCTCTTTTTCTGCTGCCAATTACCTCAGCAGGAACAGTACTGTAGCACAGTGATTTGCTCAAGCGGGCGCCAGTAACGTCTCACAACAATGTGAGACTTGTGACTGATTTTTGGCATGTTGAATACGTCACAGGGAGCTTGCCAGGCTGTGCCGTGCGGGCGAGATACTCTTGGTAGCTTGCCGGGCTCTCTGAGAGGGGCGGAGGACATGGTCGCGTGCAAGGCAAATGGCCTACCCACTGTGCTATTGCTCCAGCCCGTTGTGCTGTTATGGAGATTAACGAGTTAGGTTTTAGAAAGAAGAGAGACACAAGGCCAATGCTTCAACATGCTAAGTAAAAAAAATATATCAATGTAGTTAATTATATATACTGTGTGTGTGCACTGATACACGTAAGTGCATACATGTACCTGTTTACTATGAACCTTAGGTTCATTGCAAGAATCTGCACACAAAAAAATCTGAAGTAATGATTTAAAATGTGGATGTTTTGCTGGTTTTGTTTTGTTGCCTGCAGACTTGTTGGTTTTGGGGGACTTTGTGAGTGGTTTTGTTGTTGTTGTTGCCTGAACACATTGTCCCCTCCCTGGGCTGTGTGTGAGCTCCAGTTTGAAACCATTGATTCAGAACCATACTGGCAAACATGTTAGCATCTTCCCCAAGCAGTTATTTAAATGAAAATTTCAGTTCCTCAGCGGCACCAGCCCACATCTCCACGGTCTGCCAGTCATATGACCTGCACTCAATGCCTAAAGTATTTCTGTCAGAGCTGAAAGTCCAGCTGAGAGCACTGACCCAGCTGGGCAGAACCAGGGTCTCGGGCATTGGTGCCTGACTCCATGGCGCAGTGCGGTGCCCTGTGCCAATCCAGAGAGATCTCTGAGTCTCCCTTCGCCTCTGGAAAACACGGCTAGAAGGAGGAAGCAGCTCTGGTCTGCTGAGCAAAGGAAACGAGAGAGGCTGTGAGCAGCAGCTGGCGGGTGCCTGAAACACCGGAACCTGAGAATGATCCGAACCGAACATCTGAGCTCAAATGAAGCCTATTCCAAAGCCCTAAAGGGGGAAGACCACTGCTTTCGAAGGACGTGTATTCTGGAAAAGACCAAAGACGATGAACTTTAAGTAGAGAGCAGAGCCTTCGAGGGAAGGAGGCAATACCCGGTGTGTGATCACTCCTTGGTTTCTTCGCTCCTCCTCGCCCACCCCCAGACCCAGTGGGGTCCTTAGGGAGGGTCAGGGCCATCCGCAGAGCTGATACCCTCGCTCCTTTCCCCAGCCCACCCTTCTGCCTCAGAGAGGATGCAATCGCGTGGATTCGCATTTCTGTCCCTTGCACAAGGCCTGTTTACCCCAGCAGAGCCCTTCCCTGGCTCCAAGGCCGTCGGTCCCCTAACCAGGCGCATCAGGGGCCCCTGGCAGCGGGCCTTCCACGTCGCAAGTGCTACAGCCTTCTGCAAACGTTACAGGTGACCTGGCGTTGTGGGTTCTAGAATATGGCAAGCCTCTTCTCCGTTTTCTTCCCAGCCACATCTTCGGAGAATCCGGAGGGGGTGTGAGCATCTGAGAGGCAGTGCTTTTTGCCGAGGGAGGCAACGGTTGGGATCTTTCTGGGGCACTTGGAGCCCTGGGCTGGTTCCTTGCCCTGATGACCCCGTGTCTCTTTTCCACTTCCAAGTTGATCTGCGCCACCCAACCCCACTCATGTTTGGCCTCGTGTCTCCTTTAAAATCCACAAAGCTCTTTCCTGCTTAAGGAGCCCCCCTTCGCTGGCCCTCCCTGAGACGGTCCAGCCCACACCCCTCCGGGCTGAGGCCAAGGTGAGGGCTCCTGGCCATCTCTGAGGTGGCTGAGCCCCCACCCCACCCCACCCCGCCTCCCCTCTGCCTCTCAGCGCTGATGGATCCCTCTGGAGATGGCCGAGTACACGCCACCTCCAGGCTTCCTGACCTTCCCTCTCTCCCCTCCACACCGGGACCTCCCCCTGATGAGTGCCACAGTGGAGATGGGTGTAAGAGCTGGAGGGAGAGGAGAAACATATTCTCGTCCCTTGGGCTTCCAGTGGGCAGCTCCTGTCACAGTGCTCTAGGCTCCGGTCTCAATCAATCACAATCACAACCATCCTGTTATTCGTCGATTACCCCGAGCAGGCCCCAGTAACGTCTCCTTCGTCCTAGCCCTGAGATTTTTTAAAAAGTGCCATATTCAAGGCTCTTTCAGAGTTAGGAGAATGAGACCCTTCATTGTTACTGGTGTTTGGCATATTGGGTACGCCACGGGGAGTTTGCCAGACTCTGCCGTGTGGCCAGGTTACATTCGGTGGCCTGCCAGTTTGTCCAAAGTAGGGATGAGATGATAAGATGTCACGTGGCCACAAATTCCACTGCGCGCTTCCCGGGAGCTGGGTTTTCTAATCTCTGGGTCTTGACCGTTGATGGGATTACACGGCGCCAGGGGGCAGTTGGTGGG